GCTTTTTTTTTTTTTTTTTTTTTTTTCTCCAGAGGGCAAAATGAATGTGTTTATCATGTTCCAAAAATACACTAAAAGGGTTGGCACATTGAACATTATTTATAACACGTCAAATTTGGGACAGTTGCGGGCTAATTCTGCCTGATGTTGACTCCTATTGAAGTTATATATGATTGAGCTTATTTACATGAGAAATGCGAAGCAATGAGAAAATCTGGGCAATGGGCTAATTCTGTGTGGTGTACACATGCATGCAATGGCATGGTAGCCATGAGCTAGTATGACTGCATTCATGGAGTGATATTCTATAGTTTGATCACCACATATACGTGTACTGCTTCCTAATTCAGAAATTAATTGAAAATTTTCCACTCACTAACCTCTAAAATTTTCCTAAATTTATCCAGGTTGAAGATAATTGTCTTGGAAGCAGCTTCTTTCCCTTCATAGTTGCTGAGGATGATGTTTGCTCTGAGATGCGTATGCTTGAAAGAGAAATAGAGTTGACAGAGACAGATGATTTCCAGCTAGAAACTGGGAAATTAGAAGCACGAAACCAAGTCATGGATTTCATACATGAAATGGGATGGCTTCTCAATAGAAATAATTTGAAGTCCAGATTGGGGCACTCAGATCCTAACTCAGACTGTTTTCCTTTTAAACGGTTCAAGTACCTTGTGGAGTTCTCTGTGGACCGTGATTGGTGTGCTGTTTTAAACAAACTTCTTGACATTCTTTTCAATGGAACAGTTGGTGCTGGAGAGCAGCCATTCTTGAAGTTTGTGTTATATGAGATGGGTCTCCTTCACCGAGCTGTGCGTAGAAATTCTAGAGCACTGGTGGAGATGCTATTAAAATATTCTCCAGAAAGAGTAGCAGATGAACTAAGTTTGGAATACAGCTCCCTTGCTGAGAGTGACGGGAGTTTCTTGTTTAGACCTGATGTTGTGGGGCCTGCAGGTCTGACACCTCTTCATATTGCAGCTGGTAGGGATGGATCTGAGGATATATTGGATGCCTTGACTTGTGATCCTGGAAAGGTAATCATTTATCTCTACCCAATTCTAATGTTAAACCTGGAAGGCACAAGTATAATCATTTCATTTGCATGCGCTGCATCTTAGGAGGCCTCTTCTTTGCTTGCACAGCCTTTCGTTAAGTTTTGCAAAATAATTGTGGCAACCAGGCCTTCTAAACCTGATTATCAGTTATATGAATGAACTAAGACTTGCCTACGTTTAATATTCTAGACTTGTAGTTCAGTGAGATCTATTTAGCGTATTCTATGTTTTTGAAAAAAATGCTGATATGCCTAATTCAGGTGGGAATTGAAGCATGGAAGAATGCCCATGACAGCTCAGGATTCACACCTGAGGATTATGCTCGGTTGAGAGGACACTACTCTTACATACACCTTGTTCAGAGGAAAATTACCAAAAAGGTATCTGCTGGGCATGTAGTTGTAGACATTTCTGAGACTTGTTCGGATAGCAGTGTCAACCAGAAGAAAAATGGAGGTGACACTACTGGTTTTGAGATTGGAATGTCCAAAATAAGTTCAATTCAGCGGCCCTGTGGAAATTGTGATCAGGAATTGGTTTACAGAAGTAGCAGTCGAACTCTGCTTTATAAGCCTGCAATGCTCTCAGTGGTGGCCATAGCGGCCGTCTGTGTTTGTGTAGCCCTTCTTTTCAAAAGCTCGCCCCAAGTTCTGTATGTGTTCCGTCCATTCAGGTGGGAGATGTTGGAATATGGTTCCAGCTGAGAGCAACATGATAATGAGTGAATAAGTTAATGGGCCTATTATGTATTTGTATGTCTTGTTATGTGTAGAGCTGAAGCACACTTGCTGGACAGCTCTCTAGGTATTGATCTATTTATATGATGATGCTTCGTCAAATTGTGATTTACTTTTCTTTTTCCTTTTTGGATGTGAGGATAAATATCTGAGATTGTTTAAATGTAATAACTTGTTAAATTAAGGATTGAATGCTGTGATAAGTGCATTTTATATAATTATTTGGCTTCTTTACTTGCTTATTAATAATTGAGCAGATATCTAATTAATTTAGTGTTAGGGTG